ACGCATTCCAACTGAAGGCCCTATCCCTTTTTATAACAATGTTCATCCTGTATTCGAGAGGAAAATCATCTGATTTCAAAACAACCGTCATCCGGTTGCAGCTGTCATTCGAAAAGGCGATTTCGATGTTTCGATTTGAATGGTCTGATGTTTCATTCAAACTGAGGACGGTGGTTTAGTACAGAGTGTACAGCAGTGAGATGTAAACATTATAGATACTATAGATTCCATAGATAAGCGGAGGCACAGTTTTGTTTTGTTTCGTGCGTAAAAGTTCAAAATGAAGTGCAAAGCAAATCTTTGCAACAATGTATCGAGGAATGGTTTGCTGTATCTTCCCTTCTTCCGTTGTCCACGAAATAAATCGGAATGTGGAGTGTGGAAAGCGTTTTGTGCTCATAATATTACAATACTTCTCCTTGAAACAACACCATGATGACGTCATGCTCGTTTGGCTACACTAACTGACAGTTCGTTTGGCTACATTATGCTTTTCCTCCGCTTATCTATGGAATCTATAGTATCTATATAGTAAACATCACTTCTGCAATGTCCGCGAGCAATATTCGTTCACCGCGTATTTCCTCGGCATTTTTGGAGAAATGTTGTCAGACGTTTTGGCAACGTGATTTTCTTTGCTCACAATAGCTGCCAACACTTACCGCGGAGCAAAATGTTTCAGCTTTGTGCGTGCCTTTATCGTCCCGGAAAAAAATAACCATACAATTACCATAAAATATAATACATTCACAACAAAGTCTATTGCCAACAATAGTTCTTATTGTTTGTATATCACACAAGTTAATTTAAAATATTGTTATAGCAATAGATCAACGATACGTCGCATATAGTATGAATTTTCAACTGTAAAAACCCAATAAAGTTAATGATTAATGGCTCAAGTTTGTTCGGGCAAAAGTGTTTTTTTTTTTATGATACATAACAACCCCCTTGGTATATTGTAGATTTCCTAATTTACCTTAGATCCTATTGCAGAAACAATAAATTCCTTAGTTATTTTATCGTTGTGGAAACTACGATTTATTTTAAATGCAATAAAGTCTATTGTATGGTCATAGTACATTTCTTTGTTTATTGTTTATTTGTTCTTCGTCTTCGACAGTGTCGTACAGACTAGTTTAACTTATGCTATGTTTTTAATCCTATTTTTAAAACAATTTTTGGACACATTAAAATCAAACAAATCACTAACATTGTTGAAAGCTCTGAGGCAAGAACTGAGCGGGTTGTTATGACCATAACATGTTCTATGTGCGGGAACTGCGATAAGTGCTGAGTACCGCAGCTGACGCTGTGGAACGTTCAGTGATACTTGCAGGAGAAGATCCGAACAGTCGACGTTATTCTGGACGATATCGAATATAACCAGCCGCTGCAATTTCAGCCGTCTTGCCGATAGCAGTTCCAGATCAATTAGTTGACATCGTTCTGGATATGCAGGTAGATGGACAGGATCATTCCACGGTAGGTGCCGAAGAGCAAAGCGAATGAATGATTTCTGCACACATTCGATGCGGATCACCTGAGATGTATGGTACGGTGCCCAAATGGGAGCAGCATATTCCAGGATACTTCGAACTAAAGCACAGAACAAGGCTTTTAATGTGTGCACGTCGGTGAATTGAGATGCATTGCGGCGAATGAACCCAAGAACGGAGAAGGCTTTGGCAGTAACGGTGGATATATGTTCGTTGAATCGAAGCTTACAATCCATGATAACTCCTAAATCACGGATAGACTGCACACGTTCCAGCGGAGCAGTATCAATATTGTAAAGATGATTGATGGGAATCCAACAACGGCTAAAAGTGATCACCTTGCACTTATTGATGTTCACGCACATTCCATTTTCCTTGCACCATCGTGAAAGGGCATCGATGTCAATCTGCAGAGCAACACAGTCCAAAACAGACTTGATGACTCTGAAGATTTTGAGGTCGTCGGCAAAAAACAACTTTCCAGAAGATATTTGCAGGCACAAGTCATTGATGAAGAGCACAAAGATCAATGGACCTAACACACTCCCTTGTGGAAATCCAGATGGAATGTAGAAGGTCCTGGATCGTGCTGAGTTCACCTGGACGAATGCTTTCCTACCAGTCAGGTAAGACATTAGCCAGTCGGCTATCCAATCGGGAAAACCCATATGTCTCAGCTTTTCCACGGCATAGCTATGCGGAACAGTATCAAATGCTTTCGAAAAATCAATGTATACAGAGTCCACTTGATTCCGGCTTTCAATCTCACGAAACAAAACGTTGGTGTAGCATAATAAGTTGGTTGTTGCAGAGCGATGGGGAACGAATCCATGCTGGTATTCCGAAATTATCGTTTTTGCTGCAGACAGTAAGACCTCGTGGACCAAGGATTCAAAGAGCTTTCCCAGGCAACAGAGAATCGAGATACCGCGGTAATTTTCAACGTGCCGCACGCTACCCGATTTGTGGATAGGAATCATTTTGGCAGTTTTCCATAAACCTGGGAATGTTTTTTCATTTAACGATCGATTGAACAGTATCGTCAAAGGTTTAACTATAGACTCGGCGCAATTCTTCAGCAGTGTTGGAGTTAAACCGTCGACTCCGGCTCCTTTCGACGCATCTAGTTTGGCTAACGCTCTCAACACTTCCTCACGAGAAAAATTGAAAAAAGGAAGGTGGATATCATGGGATGGCACATTTTGAAAACAACCCGGGTGAGGTTGGGGCGACTCCGCATTAAACACACTTTGAAAGAAGGTCGAAAAAAGATTAGCTGCCTCTTCAGAAGAGCAGGCCAAAGCGTCACCGTACTTGACATTGTCCGGAACACGATTGCTTGCCCTTTGTTGCTTCACGAACCTCCAGAACATTGATGGGTTTTGTTTCAAATTCGATTGCAGCCTCTGCATGTATTCATGGTAGCTTGATGCTACGAGCTCTTTGTAGGACAGTTCCACAAGGTGAAGCGATTCTCGGTTTTCAATGGTTTTGTTAGCGAAGAATCGTTTACGTGCTTTACGCAGTCTGTTGCGCAGGTTTCTTAACTCAATGGACCACCAGGGCTTCCTGTTGGCTCCACTAATAGCAGGGCGGCGTCGAGAGACCTTCAAGTGGAGAATTTCGTAAAGCTTGTCGTAAAACAGAAGAACAATATCATCGACAGAGTGCCCCTGAAGAAGCTGCTCCCAGTCAACCGATGAAAATTCTGCATTGAGAGATTCGAAGTCGCAGCGCCTAAGATCCAGATCAATAGAGTCCGACTGAGCGTTTGCTGGACCGTGCACACATCTATGTACATCAACTTGAAGTTCTAACGGCGGATGGTGAGGATCGATAGGCAAGAGTGGTAAAACAGGATGCGATATTTCAAAATCGTCAGGAGCGTTCGTAAAAGCCAGATCGAGTAGCCTGCCATTCGGGTTTGAGATTGAGTTTAGTTGAACCAAACCACATGTAGAAATGGATTCGGTAAGTACGAGTTCTTGTTCGCTGGAGGCATTCGCAGGCAGGTATCCATTGACATCTTCATCGAAGGTCCATTGCAGCTGAGGGAGATTGTAATCCCCAAGAAGTAAGACTATGTCGCTGGCCGCCGATCGATCAGCAACATACTGAACAGCGGAAGAGTGGGTGGAATATAACGCAGGATCAGAATTCGGACGAAGGTAAATACCGAAAATGTGCAGAGACCGGTTTGGTAGTTTCACGCACACAGCGACTTGCTCAAGCTGTCTACAGTCGGTTAAAGATACCTCGGTACAGTGCAGACTCAATTTTACTGCAACGAGCACACCCCCGCCTCTCGACAAGTTGCTTGTTGATTCACTACGATCACATCGAAACAGCGAGTAATCCGATGTTAACTCCGCATCGATTATATCGGGCCGGAGCCACGTTTCGGTGAGAACGACCACATCGTAATCGCAGCTGGATAATCCTAACTTCAAGTCAGATGTTTTCGTTCGTAGACCTCTGACGTTTTGGTAATAAACCGACAGAAATCGATGTCTTGATGGGGTTCCACTACTGCCCCCACAGTCGTCGAACGAGGTCACGCAACGCTGGTAATCGGGTGCACTAGAAAGTGAATGATCATCAGGGAGCGAGCAGGTTGTTAAGCTTGAGTACTTGCCGGTGTTCACTGTTTGGAAGACCCCCTCTCCACTCCCGACAACGGGACCGAGACTCTGATGGCAGGATACTAAGTTGATACGGGATGCAAACTGGACCATGTCGGGAGGATCGGGGGCTTCCATGATGCTGTATAGCGGGCGTCTCGGTGTCGAAGTGTAGTTGGTTTGTATCGATGAAGTAGTTGATGCAGTATTAGCAGTCTCGGTTTCGATCTCGTCATTGGTGTTTGAACAAACAGAAGTCACAGTGCTATAAGTCGAAGGTACATCAGGCGAAGCATAAGTCGATAGTGGAAAGTACTTGCCTGATAATTCCGGTTGGAAGACCCCCTCCCCTACCCTAACAGGCCCGGGACGACTCGGTTGGCAGGATGCAGGAATGGGCACGACTGTTTCAGGTGGCTTGGGGGCTTCCATTAGGCTATCGACGTTGCATCCCGGGATCAGCCAGTAGGAGACGGGTTGTGCCTATATGGTTCATTTTTTACGGGGTTGTTGACGCTACGCTGGTGAAAAATTTACTTTCCCGAAAGCATCAACTTTTTTTTTTTAAACGAAATGGAAAGGAGAACTGGGAAGAGTGGGCGTTATTTATCTTGATTTTCTCGTGACGTTCTTATTGGAGTCCATCTCCATTCATACAACATTTGGTATTCTGACGAGCGACTAAAAAGTTCAGCTTGCAATAGTCCAGCTTACCCTACAGGACTTGCATGGTGGCCTGGAAGTTGCACACAAGCTTCCACCCGACCAATGATTCAACAAAGACCACCTTGACGATATGCAGCAACTACGATCCTGGCATCGGTACCTTCGTTTTCCGCTAGGGTAGCACTTGGATGGTCAAAACAAAAATCCCAACGTTTTTCTCCCCAAAAGCAATCGAAAGCAATCCGTTTGATGCATCAGCCACGGTTTTTTTTTTGTGTGAACAAAAGTGAAGAAAGAAAAGCTAATCGTTTCCACTCGACTGTAATTATTTATTAATTTCATTTGTTTCCGTGTGTCATGTTTAGAACTGTGCAGTAGGATTAGTGGTAAAAAGTAACGTCCTCAAAGGAATGTTTAGTCGAGCAATATGAGTGCATTCGAGGTAAGGTGAAAGAAAATGAGAAAAGTTCGTTATAACAATGCAAATTTGTTGACCAGGTCAATGTCACACCGACCCGTGGTTCCCAGCCGAAACGGCGTACAGAATCGAGAGAACCGACGCTGGTGGTGTTGGGACCGTTCACACCTAAAGCAACGGTTATATTTGAGGGTGTTCCCATCGGGAAGACGGCTTGCAGACAGCTGGTTGTTCAAAATCCATACAATGAAGAAATTAAGGTAAGGGGAATGGGAAGTGGGATGAAGATGAAATGAAGAAAATGCAATTCGTCGTCCTTTGAAGGATGTACGCGAATAAGAGAAGAAGGGTCACATGAAAACTAGACAATCTTGTTTTTATGTAGGGGAACCAGGGGCGAAAGTGGCTGCATTTTTATTAACGAATATCTTTCTCTTCTCTCAGGTGCTTGTAACAAAAATCCCGAAAATCGAGTTCAATCTGGGCTTGGAATGGACATCATGCGATATTCCCGCCAGAGAGGAACGTCAACTGGAACTGGTTTGGAATCCGATGAAGCTATTCGCCAGTAAGGAAGTTTTACAGATGAGCGACAGTTGTGGTAATAAGAAAGATATCGCACTGATCCTGAAATCCACCGAGCTGAAAAAGGTGCCAGTGAAGAAGCCAGTGCTGAAACAAGCACCGCTTCTACCGAAAAAGCTTAAACTTAAATCCCCATCGCCTCCGAAGGCCGGTTTGAAGCGGAATTTGGGGTCGAAAAAGTGGGCATCACCTTTAAAGAAATCGTTTGCTTCGCCACCGGCTCCGGTTGTTCGACCGCCTATTCCGAAAGTCAACGTTCTAGGGCCAACCAATGTATCGAACATCTTCAGCTCTAGTGCCTTCAACTTCTCGCATGTGTCGGAATCTGCACAGCTTAATCCCAGAGCCAATAAGGAAAATGTCAGTCCAGTAACTCCAGAAAATGCATCGAAACTTTTCAACAGTATCAAGTTTACACCGTCCGATAAGAATGATTTGTCTTACCTAGCCGATCTGCCCACCCCGGTCAACTACATGAAGGTAGACGACATCCGACTCGACAAACCGAACCTCTTACGAAAGCGACTCAGTATTTCACCGGAAATTGACCTATTTTATGAGTTTACACCACGGATGTCCACAAACCAAAGTATTCTGGCCATGAAGGAAACTCCTAAATCTTGTTTCAATACAGATGATAAGACGGTAACTTCGCGTAATCCACAGCTAAGCCTGACGCCACCAAACCACGTTACTTCTAAAACATTCGACCCCAACTGTTTTTCAACAATTACGAAATCCGCCCAAAAGGAGCAAACTTACCTTATGATTGACGAAATGCAAAAGAACTCCGGAAAACAGCTGGATTTTTCCCACGAACTTGAACTAGCGGACATTCCACTGAAGGATTCACCTATGTACGCTTCTCTGAAGGCGGAAGCTGCACGCACTGAGAACGTTTCCCCTTGCAACGAAATCCAGTTGGTATTCCTCAACAATCTTGAAGCAGCCTTCAGTGAACAACCCAAAGTGCTGAACAAGACTCAAACCGTCTCACCGTACGCCTCCAACCCGCAGCTCTCGATGATTGCTGAGGAAAACTCTCGGGAGCTGGGCTTGACATACCATGCAGGGCGCGTCAGCGAAGAGCTTATAAGCCATCAGAAAACATTCAAAATCATCAACCACGACAGCATGGCCAAATCCAATTCCGACGATGATATTGTGAAAAATCTCACCATGGAGATCAAACTACAGGGTTCAATGCCAAACCTAAACGACAGGGACGACGAGGACGACGGCGAGACACGAATGTTCATGGCACACGAAATCCGAGCTCAATCGAGTCGCTTTAATCTGCACGAAATCAGTCGCACCAGTGACGAGATGAAACCGGCCGGAACCGGAATCGGCGCGAAACGTTATCTAGACAACAGTCTAACCGCGATGGACTCGGATGAACCAGTATCGATGGCTATTTCCCCGCCCAAGAGAAGCAAACTGATGACGACACCGTCGTTGACTTCACTACAGAAAGCCTCCTCGGGTGGCAGTGGTAGGAGTTCTTCGGCTGGACCACCACTATCGAGGAGCCGTTCCGGGAACAGCAGCACAAAATCATGCTTTCAGGTAAGTCCTAGAATGGCAACATTTTTAGAAACTAATCAAAACACTGACCTTGGTCACGAGCTAATCATCGCTTTCACGGCGGGTTCATTTCGCTACCTTCGTCAGTTGCTAGGGGCACGTGCAGGTTTATTTATCAGCTCATATTTGACAATGCACCCCATCAGTTGACGAGAGTTGATTGCACAATGCACAGTTTTCGTCGCGAGAGTGATTGGTAATTAAAGTTTGTCCCCTCGCATTCTATTGATTCCTAGATATTGTTATTGGTGCATTCGACATTGTGTAACACGCTTGAGATGGCCTACATGAGTGAATATCTGTTTTACAGTGACGAAAGTGGTGATGAAGATATTATCATGATTGAGCTGGTGGATCCGGAGGTGATAAGATACATAAAAGTTTACTACCATGAGCGATTTATTTGGTTTGGAACTATGAACAACCGCGAATCCATAACCTTCAACATGCGGAAATATTCAAACGAGCAATTTACATGACGCATGACAGCTATAGACAAGTTCAAAGTTTCTTAAATGTTGCAATCAATGCACTCTCCCCAACTCGATACCTTCTTTACTCGTTGAGTTTTGATAATTATGTCCGTGTATTTTCACCTCCCTCAGTCAATTTTATATTATTATTGTTTCGATAGTTTTCGATAAAGCCGTAGCATTTAAAATTAAAAATAAATATAATTAAAAAAATGAGTAGTAAGTATTCATTTGTGAGTAACAAATACTCATAAATAAGAAAAAATGTACTCATTTAATGGGTACTCCCAGTTTTTTTTATTGTTTTATGAATGAGACTACTTCTTTTAGTTCGAGCTCACTGTTTTCCTTCAGAATGATGTTCAGTGGTTTACAGCACTCCAGTACCGTGTACTTGTCTCGATACTGTATTTTGTGCAGTGGTAGAGCAGATGTCCCAGATCTTCTTTTTCGTCGCACAGGTTACAATTTTCATCATCTTCCCGACTCCATTTGTATCTTCTTCCTTTGGTGTTGGTGTGTCCTGTCCTTATCCGGTTCAGGAAGATGATTTGTTCGGAATTGTTCATTGAATAAACGTTCTTCCCAAACCCAGTCATCATAATCGAGTACCACTTGGTTGCACATAATTCTGCTTTAACCTGAGAAGATATAAAACAGCGCTGTTGTCTAGCCTCAACTCACATGAATTCTCTCTAGTTTCGTTCGTTCGTTCGCAAGTCGAATTAGCTCCGCGTTGTATAGTGACGCTCTCGCTGACCCAGCCATGGGTAAGAAATCGCGCGGTAACGCGAGTGCCGGCTTACCGGGAAAACAGACTCTCCCAGGAGACGGCACAACCACCGAGCCAGCTCAGAAGAAGCAGAAGAAAACCCCATTGCCCGTCCCGACAGGCGTTGCGGACCCGCAGCCGGGGCCTCCCGGAACTAAACGACCCAGACCTGAAAACATCAGCGCCACCGCATCGGCAGCAAAAAAGCTGCTGAGCAACAATCCGTTCTCCGCCCTGCAGAACGGAGCCCAGCCGCAGTCGGACCCTGAAACGGTGCCTAAAAAAGTTAAGTTGCCACCCTTCTATGTGAAGGGCTTCCCTCCCGGGCTATGGGAGCAGCTGGATTTCTACATTAAGCAGGGCCTTCGCTGCATCATTCAACGGTGCACGGAAGGCTACAAACTGATGGTCTCGGCCGAAAATCACTACAACGCAGTCCAGGCCCTCTTGGACAGGATGAAGCTGGAGTACTTCTCCCACGACGTCGAGGCCACCAAGCCGCTGAAAGTGGTGCTGCGCGGGCTCCACGACATGGACACCACCACCTTAATGGACGAGATTAAGGCGAACGGCCTCAAGCCGGTCGAAATCCACAAGATGACCCGCAGCAAGGCCATCAAGTATCGTGACCAGCTCTACTTGGTCCATCTGCAGAAGAACTCCACAACCGTGAAGGATCTCCATACGACACGCACACTGTTCCACATCGTAGTGAAGTGGGAGCGGTATAAGCCAACCCACCGTGGCGTCACTCAGTGCTCGAACTGCCTATTGTTCGGGCACGGCACCAGGAACTGCCGCATGGCCAGCCGCTGCATTAAATGCGGCAAAAACCACAAGATCGACGACTGCGACAGCATCGAGGAAGCCGCTCCCACATGCGCCAACTGCGGTGCTGCCCACAAGACCACGAGTAAGGCCTGTCCGAAGCGGGCCGAATACGCCGAGATCCGGAAGAAGGCCTCGTCCAACAACCAGCCCGGTCGCAAGAAGGTCCCGGAAAACAACGCGCAGAACTTTCCTCCGTTATCACCGGTCCAACCACGGCCAATTCCAGTGTTGGCGCCGCTCCCGCTCAACCAACAGTTGGCTGCTGCCCAGTCGGCTGCCGCTGCAGTACCCAGTCAAGCCTCCGGCCCATCGACGGATCCCCCTGCTCCGGGATTGGCCGGTACAACCGGTGAAGCTACAGACGATTCTCCGCTGTCAACGAATGAGATCGTCACACTGTTGGCCCAGGCCATCATCATCAAGCGCCCCTGCGCAACAAGAACACAACAGCTCCAAGCTATCATCTCCTTCGTCGCTAATTATGGACCGTGAACCCATAAAGATCGCCAACTGGAACGCTCGCTCCGTAGGGGCGAAAAACATTGAGCTTGCAGACTTCCTCCGCAAGCACGACATCGACGTGGGCCTTCTCACCGAGACCCACCTCAAGACCGGTGACAGCTTCTGGCTGCCCGACCACAGCATTGTCCGGCTTGATCGCACCAGCTCCAGGGGGGGCGGTGTCGCGGTCATCATCAAGAAAGGCATCAAGTACTGCACCCTACCCCACTACCGCACTTCCATCATCGAGGCCGTCGGCGTTGAGGTGGAAACATCGACCGGAAACGTCCGGTTCATCGTTGTCTACTGCCCCCGGCAATGTACCGTTAGCAATGGTACAGCACAGCAGTTCAAGAACGACCTTGCCATCATAACCCGCACCAATGCCCGCTTCGTAATCGGAGGGGACCTGAACGCCCGGCACGAGGCCTGGCGGAACTACCAGCAGAACCAAAACGGCCGCCTGCTATTCGACCATTCCCAGCATGGTCTCTATTCCGTCTGGTTTCCGGACGAACCAACCTTCACATCACCGGCGGGCAACCCATCGACGCTGGACCTGTTCTTGGCAAACACCAGATTAGCCAAGCCGGTTGCCGTCAACGACCTGAGTTCGGACCACCAACCGGTGCTGACCGAGCTGGGCTACAACGTGGCCCCTGCACCGTGCCAGCGGAAGGACTACCATCGAGTCAACTGGGTCCAGTTTCGACGCGTGGTCGACCGCCACATCGACGACAACCCACCACTCGACACAGTGGAGGACATCGACCGGGCTCTGGAGGGTCTCCATCAAGCCATATCCGTGGCTGACGAAGAGTGCGTTCGACGAGTTCCTGTGAGGGGTAAGTTTCAAGCAATTGATTCCCACACCAAACTCTTGATTCGGCTCAGAAATGTTCGTAGACGCCAGTTTCAGCGGACTGGGGATCTGCAGCGTAAATACGAAATGGTCGATCTGAATCGGCAGATCGCTTCCAGAATGGTCTCAATCCGGAACGAGAGTTTCGGGCGGCTCGTTCAGAACCTGGACGACCGTTCCAGACCATTCTGGAAGGTTGCCAAGGTGCTGAAGTCTCACCCCAAGCCCATTCCACCACTTAGAGTCAATGACGAACGGCTTATCACCAACGAAGAGAAGGCCAATGCAATTGGGGAGCACATTGCCCAATCGCATTTGCTTGGCTCTACAATCCCAAGTCCACTCGAGAACCAGGTTGTGCAGTGCGTCCAGACGTTAGATACCTCCCCTTGTGCCGTCCCTCCAGAAGAACGGATTACAGAGGAACAAATTTGCTCAGCGCTGAAATATAGCAAAAACATGAAGGCTCCCGGGTTTGACGGAATATTCAACCTAGCGTTGAAAAATCTCAGCCCGAGGGTCCACTCTGGGAATCGTGCGCTCAGACCCACAGGAACAAAATCCAGGTTGCACAGAATAGAGTGTTGAGGATGATCCTAGATCGTCCATTCGACACAAGAATAGCAGACCTCCATCAAGAGGCAGAAATTCCCAAAGTAGATTCCAAAATTGATGATATGACAACTAAATTTATTCAAAAATGCAATCTTTCTGAACATGCTTTAATAAGCAATTTGTACATAGTAGGTTAAGTGTATATAGTAGAGTAGGTTAGTTCTAAGCTGTAAATAGTAGTATTAAGTAGTTTCTCTTCAAATTCTAAAAACAAAACAAACCAATCCCACCAAGGTGGTCGACCGTGTACTAAGTCTAGGACTAATTCTGTAAAACAAATTTTGAATTTTGCCCATACCTAAAGATGAAGAAAGCAATTAAATCACTTAGTAAAAATTTATATGGTAATCGTCCAAGTTAAACTAAAAAAAAAAAAAAAAAAAATAAAGATCATTTAAACTAACTATAACTAAACTAAGCCTCAACTCACATTCGTTGCCAGACTGTTGAGCAGTACAGTCGACTTTTTTTTCATACGGGACACAGGTGGAGTATTTCTCCCACGACATCGAGGCTGTTAAGCCGTGCAAGGTGGTCCTACGAGGACTATACGACATGAACACAGGCGTCCTCTTGGAAGAGCTGGTGGCTAATGGACTGAAGCCGGTCCAAATTCACAAGATGGCCCACCACAACAAGGCCGTCAAGGACCGCGACCAGCTATACTGTTCCATCTTGAGAAAAACTCAACAACTTTGATGAACCTCCAGGGCATCCGCGTCCTGTTCAACATTGTGGTGAAGTGGGTTTGAGCCGGTCAGTTGTGGAGTCGTCCAATGCTCGAACTGCCTGCTGTTCGGGCATGGGACGAAGAATTGCCATATGGTCAGCCGCTGCATCAAGTGTGGCAAACAACACAAAACCGACGCCTGCGACAGACTCGATGATGCCGATCCCATTTGCGCCAACTGCGGTGCTGCCCACAAAT